TTCAATATTTTTACTCTGGAAATTTGTTTTTGGTTCTATTGACCCCATCTGGCAAAAGACTTTTTCTGAGATTGAGTTGATGGAAGAAATAAACTTATCTGTTCTTTACATTATTATGACCTAAAGATATTTCCAAAGTACAGGGACAGGCTGGCTCACACTACCACAAAAAGCTTTTACTAAAATGGCAGTGATACTTAATACTTGTTAAGGTAGCTCCTGTGGACCTGTGTCTTGTACAGCATCATAGTCCTCAACAAAGAATCTACAGCAGTGTACTCTGAACATGATCAGCTAGGTCGGGGGCCTCTGAATATGCAGCACTGGGGGACAGGCTCCTCTGTGCTGAAACATGTCAGTGGCTGATTGAATGGGATGCAATCTGTGCAGTTAAAATTGAGGTGCTGTGAGTGAGAGGAAATCTGTTGCCAAACCTCTCAGATATTGCTCCCATCAGAGAAAAAGGTATTCCTTTGGAACCACATATCCTTACATTTCTTATAAGAAATTCAGCTCAATTATAATATGGGACCATTGTCATATATATGATCCTTCATTGACCAAAATGTCACCATGTGGCATGATTGTTGTCTTGTTTACTCCTCTAGACTCCGTTGTACCGCAGGGTCTTTGCACAGGCTGTTCCTTTTGCCTGGAGTGATCTCCCTTCCCTCTGCCTATCCTTCAGGGTTACCTATTCAGGTAAAGCTTTCCTAACCATCACCAGGAGGCTAGGTCGCATGCCTTTACTGTGAACTTCAGAGCTATCTACTCTCTTTGTCTCATGCATTTATTTATTTAATCTGTTTTTTCTCAGACTCTTAAGTTCCATAGGGCAGGAACTAGGTTTGTCCTGTGTTCTAGTACTTAGCCCATTCCTTGGCACATGTTATTAAATATTTGTTAAATGGATGAAGGAATGGATCCATTAGCTATCACTATGGCTGGACCCTACCAATCAGAGTCTCTGAAAAAATTCTGTGGACAAAATCTCTTCCTAGAGTGCACCTTAGAACAGTGGAAGCTAGTCATTATTTGAAAAAATTAACTTTGTTTAAAATGAAGTGCAACCACTATAGTCTGATCCATACATTTGAGAAACATTTATGTCACATTTTGTAAAAAATTTTTTATGTTTGTGATTAGTTTCACCTTACTTGCTTATTATCAGGAAGATTTTGGTGTGTTTTTGTTGTTGTTATTAATCCTCATCTGAGGATATTTTTTCTGTTGATTTTTTTTTTTAGAGAATGGGAGGGAGGGGGAGAAAGAGAGAAACATCAATGTGAGAGACGCATCGTTTGGTTGCCTCCCTCACACATGACCTGGGCCAGGGATTGAGCCTGCCACTGAGGTACCTGCCCTTGACCAAATTGAACCCATGACCCTTCAGTACTCAGGTGACACTCTAACCACTGAGCAAAAACAGCTAGGGCCCTTTTGGTGTTTTTTCCTCTCCCAGAATTTCCCAAGAAATCTGACCAACGGGGCAGGCTTTGTAGCTTCCGTGCTTGTTAGGGGTGAGCTCTGCTGTTCACAGAGTCTGCCATACTTTTTCCCCTCACTCAGTGTCCCCGTAGAAAAACAGCTGCAGGGGTTGGTACTTGAGCTCTCAAGATTCCACACCTATTTTTATTTTTTGTGCCTGTGTTCCTTCTTCCCTTTAGCATTTCTTGCATTGCTGGGTTGGTGGTGATAAACTCCCTTTTTTTGTGTGTGTGAAGCTCCTTATTTCCACTTCAATTTTGAATGATAACCTTGCCTGATAAAGTTCTTGGATTCAGTCCCTTGCTTTGCATCACTTTGTAAACTTCCTTCCATTCCTTTCTGACCTGACGTGTTTCTGTTGAGAAATCATTTGATAATCTCATGCAGTGATGGCGAACCTTTTGAGCTCAGCGTGTCAGCATTTTGAAAAACCCTAACTTAACTCTTGTGCTGTGTTACATATAGAAAGTTTTTGATATTTGCAACAATAGTAAAACAAAGACTTATATTTTTGATATTTATTTTATATATTTAAATGCCATTTAACAAAGAAAAATCAACCAAGAAAATGAGTTCGCATGTCACTTCTGACACGCATGTCATAGGTTCGTCATCACTGATCTAATGAGAGATGCCTTGTATGTAACTTTCTGTCTCTTTCTTGCAGCCTTTAAGATTCTCTCTTTGTTCTGAACGTTTGCCATCATAATTATGATGTGTCTTGGTGTGGTCTTTTCAGGTTCATCTTGTTTGGGCTCTCTGTGCTTGTGACTTTTCTTCCCCACCACAGGGAAGTTTTCTGACATCATTTCTTCAAATAGGTTTACTAACCCTTGTTCTTCTTTCTGTCATTCTGGCACCTCTGTTATTCATATGTTGCTTCATTTCATGTTGTCCCAAAGCTCCCTTAGACTCTCCTCCTGTATTTTAATTTTTTTCTCCAATTGCAGTTCAGTTTGGGTGTGTTTTGCTTCCCTGGCTTCTAATTCGCTAATTTGGTACTCCGCTTCTCCTAGTCTACTGTTGAAACTTTC